CAATGGCTCAAGAGAGAAATTAAAACAACAAACTTCAACCCAACATAATGAACAGAAATCAGCCCCACCTATCAGTTATCTCAATAAATGTGAATGCCTTGAACTCTCCAATCAAGAGACATAGGCTGCCCGAATGGATAAAAAAAAAACACAAGCCAAGTATCTGATGCCTTCAGGAAACACATCTAACTACAAGGATGCAGTTAGATTAAAGGCAAAGGGGTGGACAACAATATTTCAAGCAAACAGAAACCAAAAGAAAGCTGGTGTGGCGGTGCTGATTACAGATAACTTAGCTTTTAAATCAACAAAAGTAATAAAAGACAAAGAAGGTCACTATATAATGGTGAAGGGTACAGTTCAACAAGACATAACAATTCTAAATATATATGCATCCAAACTTGGTGCACCCAGATTCATAAAGCAAACTCTACTTGATCTAAACAAATGGATAAACAACAACACCATAATAGTCGGAGACTTTAACAACCCACTGACAGCACAGGACAGATTCTCCAAACAGAAAATCAACAAAGAAATAATGGACTTAAACAGAACTCTAGAACAAATGGGCCTGACTGACACTTACAGGACATTCTACCACAAAACCACTGAATATACGTTCTTCTCATCAGCTCATGGGTCATTCTCTAAGATTGACAACTTCCTAGGACACAAAGCATGTCTCAAACAATTTTAAAAAATAGAAATCATACCATGTATCTTTTCAGACCATAATGGAATAAATGTAGTAATAAATTCTAACAAGAGTTCTCATTTCTACACTAAGTCATGGAAACTAAACAACCTTCTGCTGAATGATCACTTCATAAATGAAGAAATCGAGATGGAAATCAAAAGATTCTTTGAACTAAATGACAAAGGTGACACAAGTTACCAAAACCTGTGGGACAAAACTAAAGCCGTCCTAAGAGGAAAGTTTATTTCCATAAATGCCTATATCCAAAAGTGAAAAAGATCACAAACAGACAACCTAATGAATCATCTCAAAGAGCTGGGAAAAGAAGAACAGACTGACCCCAAACCCAGCAAAGAAGTGAAATCATTAAGATCAAATCAGAACTAAACGAAATTGACAAAAAAGAAACCATACGAAAAATTAATAAAACAAAAAGTTGGTTCTTTGAAAAAACAAACAAAATTGACACACCTTTGGCTAGACTAACGAAAGGCAGATAAGAAAAATCTCTAATAAGCTTCATCAGGAACAATAAAGGAGAAATGACAACAGAGGCCACGAGGATACAAGATATAATTTATGAATACTACAAAAACCTCTATGCACACAAACTGGAAAATGTGGAGGAAATGGATAATTTCTTATAAACACACAGCCTCCCTAGGCTCAACCAGGAAGAAATAGAATTCCTGAACAGACCAATATCAAGTACTGAAATTGAAACAGCAATAAAAAACCTTCCTAAAAAGAAAAGTCCTGGACCTGATGGTTTTACACCCGAATTTTACCACACCTACAAAGAAGAACTGGTGCCTATCCTGCAGAAACTATTCCACAACATTGATAAGGATGGAATCCTTCCCAAAACATTTTATGAAGCAAACATAACCCTGATACCAAAACCAGGAAAGGGTGCAACAAAAAAAGAAAACTACAAACCAATATCCCTTATGAATATAGATGCCAAAATTCTCAACAAAATCCTAGCCAATCGAATCCAGGTGCTTGTCAAGAAAATAATCATCACGACCAAGTGGGGTTCATCCCAGGGATGCAGAGATGATTCAACACACGCAAATCTATAAATATAATTCACCATATAAACAGAAGCAAAAACAAAGACTAATCATGAACTCTCAAACTATGACACCAGAGAAAGCATTTGACAAAGTTTATTCCACACTTTTTAGAAGAAACGCTCAACAAATGCATAGGGGGCTTACCGTAACAATTGATACCCCATAATGACAACACCACGCCATATCATACTGAATGGGGAAAGATTGAACGGCCTTTCACTCTTAGAAGCTGGACACGACAGGTTGCCCACTATCTCCACTTCTATTCAAGCATAGTGCTGGAAGACCTTGCTATAGCAATCAGACTAGAGAGCAGAATTAAGGGTGTCTGAATGGGAGCAAGAATAGGATCAAACTCTCCTGCTTTGCGTGATGACATCGATACTTATAGCCTAGCAAAACCCAAGGATTCAGCCAACGAGACTCCTTGAACTGATAATGAACTTGGTAAAGTGCTCAGGATACAAATCAATATCACGAAATCCAGAAGGCATTCAACCGCCAACCAACAGTACACAGTGACGACCAATCAAAGACTCAATTCCGTTCAAATAGCAGACAAATAAATAAGTACCTAGGAATATGATTTTCACCTAAGCGAGCGTACAGAAGACGCTCTAAAGAGAGAACTACTGAAACAACTGAAAGAAAGAAATAGCCAGCAGGCATGTAAACGGGTGCAAGAACTATACCATGCTCTGGGCTCGGCCGACATCACTTGTTACAAATGTCTATACTCACCCAAAGTGACTACAGACGTCATGCACTATTCATCCAAATACGCATCATCCATTTTTCCCGTACTAGAAAAAATAGCTTTACTGCTTCGTATGAAACCCAGACAGAAGACCCGAATAGAATCAATTCTAAGGCAATCAAAAACGAAATCAGGCGCGGTACCTCAACCTTACCGAGATTCTCAAACTATCACTACAAGCAGCTATAGTAATTTAAACCGCTTTGATTGCACTAGAAAGGGACTTTAACCGTGCAACGAGAACGAAAACCAAAGATTATAACACCATCTTCATCATGCCAACTCACTTCTCGACAAACCAGACCAAGAAACATACACTGGGAAAAGAATCGCTTATGCAATAAGTGTGGTGCTGGGAAAACTGGATAGCACATGCTACGAACGACTGAAACAAGACCATCCACTTTACTCCTCAACAAATCAACTCACGACTGAGTACCAGACTTGAACTTAAGGTGTGACTTATTAGAATTCTAAGAAAATGTTGGATACTCTTTAGACATTGCGCGTACGCCGGCAAAGAATTTACTGAAAGACCCGAAAGGCAATTCAGGCAGCAGACAAAAATAAACTGGGACATCGAAATTACAGCTTCTGATAGCCAACAGAAACTGTCAAGAGAACCAAACGAGGACAACTCACAGAATGGGAGGAAGATTTCGGGCAAGCTACACACGCGACGTAAGAGGCTAATACTGAATCTAGTTTAGACTCAGGAATCAGCCAGAAAGAATCAAACAACAACGCGCTATCAGCAAAAGCAAGGACCGAACGAAACTTCTCAAAGAAGGACAGAATACATGGCCCAACAAACTGAAAAAATGCTCACATCTCTAATGCCATCAGGGAAACCTGCAACTCAAAAGCACATGAGATATCATTTACACCTCCGTGAACTCGGCTTCTAAAAAAGCTCCAAACAAAAATGTTTGGTGTGGGATGCGGAGGAGAACGATACTCTAAACTCTCTGGTGGGACTTGAAAACTGGTTCAGCTCTGTGGAACGGCAATATACCTGAGTCGATACCTTTCAAACGCACAACAAGCAGATCTACGACATTTGATCCGCAATCCCACTACTGGAGCATCTACGCTGAAAGATCACAAAGCTCATTGTTATGAAAAGCGACACGCCTGCAATTAATGTTTATAGCCGCACCAGATTCACATTGTAAAGGTGTGGCAACACGCCCAAAGTGCCCATCATTCATCGAGTGCCATGATAAAATGTCGGTATATCGTATACATCGGAGTACTAGCTCACGCCTTCTAAGAAACACGGTGATGTACGCACCTCTCTCGTATCTTTCCTGATAAGCCTGGAGCCCTTCTACTAAGTGAAGTATCTCAAGAATGGAAAAACAAGCACCACATGTGCTCACCAGCAAATTGGCATTAATGTATCAATACCTAAGTGGACATATAGGAAAAACATTTATCGGGTGTCGGGCATGTCAGAGGGGGGAGGAAGGGAAGGGAATATACAAACATAATGAGTGAGATGTGCAACGGTTGGGGGATGGTCACGCTTGAAGCTCTGAGTTGTGGGGGGGCATGGGCAATATACATAACCTTAACATTTGTACCCCCATAATATTCTGAAATAAAAAAATAAAAACATATAAGGATCTACTCAGCCACAGAAAACAATGGTGATCTAGTACCTCTTATATTATCGTGGATGGAGCTGGAGCCCATTCTACTAAGTGAAGTATCACAAGAATGGAAAAACAAGCACCACATTTACTCACCATTAAATTGGTATTAATTGACTTAACTGACCAACACTTAAGTGCACATATAGTAGTAACATTCATTGGTGTCAGCAGGTGGGAGCAGGGAGGAGGGATGGGTATATTCACACCTAGCATCAACATGCTCAGGATCTCAACTGAAGGGGTTAATTATTGCAATAAGCAAGTAATTCACAGATAAAACCTTGACCGTCAGTAGCACTTGCCTTTTCTTTTTTATACACCTTTGGATCAGAACCTCATAAAGGCAAATAGCGTGTAGAACATATCCTTTACCAGGCCAATATGCGAGTGGGCTGGCCAACAGGAGCATCATCTCTCAACCTAACCAATGACCATGTACAGACACCATAACCAAACCACAGATAACTCAACTATAATGGTGTTTCCAGGACACACCTCTCAACCCAGAAAGTCTTCAATCAAGACTTATGGCCCAAAAACCACCAGGTGAAAGCAACTACTGAAATAATCTATGAACTGATAACTCTAGCAACTCTAGCGTGAAGAGCCCCAAATCCCATGCCCAGGCTCCTAAGTGCCCCTCCCCATCCCTTGCTTGTTTTCTCTGGCAGGATGTTTTACAGTATGTGCATTTCCAACCCAACTAATAAAGGAGCTCTTTAAAGTTTAGAAAAACACTGCTTATTGGGTTCCTGAGTCCAACATGTGTGCAATACATAAATAAGCAAAGAACACATGTACAGTACCTTCCTGAAGCTGTGTTGGCTTGGCAGAATTTTCCCCACTCATTAAAACAACAAAAGATGCAGCTGCTCGAACTGTAGCCTGCCATGTTGACATGGCAACGGGTGGCTCCTGGCATGGAAAAAGGGCCCTGTTGTTTATGGGAGATCCCATAGTATAAACACATGGCCTGCAGAAGAGAGACAAAGAAACAAAGGGGCAGAATCTTTAAAATGAGTTGTCACTTTTCTCCCCACCATCGCAGTGAAGGTTAAGTTGAGCTTTCAAAGAGAAAATATTTGAGGCTGTAGTTGACTCATTTCAAAGCATTTTGAACTGAAACTGCCAAGGGCTGGCTATGTGAATAGCTGAGTGGTTATTTCTCCCAAATGAATTACTTAAACACATAAAGAGTGGCTTTTTTTTTTTTGTAAGAAGAAAAATATTTTTTGGATAAAGTTTTAAATATGAGTCTGCCAAGTTATAATTTATATTATCCTTGCCCCCTCCCCTTAGGCCTGTATGCCTTCAAAAGAAAAAAGTTTTAGAGAAATTCTTACAAACCTTTTGGAAAGTATTCTGGAAAAGAAAATATGTTTGGAGATCAGTGAGATATTAATGCTTGGAAAAACAAGCTGGTGGTCTCAAATCCAGTGCTGGCGGGCAGATACCTTCCCAATCTTGGAAAATACCATCTCAAACAGAGCCCTTGTGGAAATCCTTGTGTGGAGGCCAAGAACAGGGATGGCATAGAAACAGGACCGTGGGTCACAACAACCAGGCTTGTGATGGCAAAGCCAACTGCAGAAAGTTGTTACCAAAACAAGTGTACAAAACCAATGACTCGTTCTGCTACAATTAAAAAATACAAACCTACCCAAACCAAAAAAGATCCCTTCCATGATCAAGCCATTGCTGACAGAGATGGAAAAGATCTACGAGATCAAAGGAATCCATTCTTTTGACACCACAGAGTAGAAGGCACAAGACTGGCTCCTCTGGAAAATATCTTAGGAAAATGTTTCCAGTTTCTGTTTTTCATGAGTCATGACAAATATGTAGCTTTAATCAGCTCGACTTATAAAGTAAATGAATACAACTAAGCACTGCCGGTTTTTGAAAAACTGGTTTTCCTTTCTCATGAACATCATTATAATTGAGTATTTACTGTTTTCCTACAACGTGCAAGAACACACAGAATGATGCTCTACTCTACCTGTCAGGGTACAATAAAGAGAAGAGAAACCAGTCGAGATCTCAACAAGCAGAGGTAATTTAATATAGGAAATGTGTTATCAAAATGATAGAAGAGCTGAGAAACCAATCAGGGGACAGCCAGGCCACCCAGAGATCAGCCACAGCAGTAAGCCGCTGCGACCTCTAGGACAAGAGGAGCTGGTGTTACCGGGTTACACTGGCAGGAGTCAGCTGGCAGAAGCCAGAGTCACAGCAGGGACTGTCCAGTGGGAGATGGGACCACAGAGGAGACCCAGCCGCACTGAAGCTACCAAAGGAAGCAGGGAGAGGAGAAGTAATACCTTGTTTCTTACCAAGTCCTGCTCTCAAGTCTTCCACCAGTGGCCCCCATTGGCCAATCCTGACAGGAGGCTAGAAGACAAGAGAGCCTGGGAAATGAAGTTCCTTGTCATTTAGAGATCATAATAAGAGCAGAAAATCAATCTTAACGCAAACAGGCAGCTGCAGTATGCTTATCCTACTAGTCTACATGCCATGATAACTCACAGGTTTGACATGAGACCAGGAAAGATAAGAAAGTCAGAAGATTTTGGTCCTAGCTGGGTTGCCAACTTATTAAATGACTGTGGGAAAGTCCCTTGACCTCTCTGAGTCACAGGTAAAATGAGTACTAGATACTATTGTAAACATTAAATTGTAAACAATTTAATGTTTACAATAGTATCTAGTACTACGCCTTTTATTATATTTTGAACATACAATACATCTTCTTAATGGATTTTTCCTTTTTGTTTTATCACTATTGTAAGGTGCTGGAAAATGTCTTTCTCTAAAACACATGAGATTTTCTGATGCAGTACAAGGGTTGTGTTGCCTCAATTTGGAGTGCTGTCGTAGAAGTTTTGTTATTAATGCTAAAGTTGATGCTCGGCTGTGCACCTTCATATCACAGCTATCAGCTAAAGTCAACACTGGGCTGTGCATGTTCATCTGTGGCTGTCGACTATAGTCGACGCTTGTACCAAAGTGGTTAAGAACCTAATGAGGGAGACTGCTAGAGCTCACCTCCTCCCAGGTGCAATGATGGTGGGAGAGATCCTGTAGCAGCTCAAATAGCTCAGGTAGGTGGGGTCAAGGCACACCCAGCTCCCAAAATTCTACCTATTGTTTCATTTTTTCCCCAAAAAGCTCATCTTAGAGAAGGGTCCCAAGAAGGAAAAGTATCTTCAGTGGAAAAGGGGTGTATTTCCACTGGCCAAATAGCAGACATTGAGAATTAAGGTTTCCTTTTCCACTGAATCAGAATGGACCACACAATTTTTCTTAGTTCAAGAGCTCCAGGAAGCCACTTCCAATCTACATAGACTTGTGCAGGTAAACCTACTTGCAATGCTTACAAGAAAGTGACAGGTTCTTGCCTACAGAGCTCCTAAGACTCTCTCTGTCTCATGCACAGGGGAGCTGACCTTATAATTGTGGTCTGAACTCTTAAGGTTCTTAGGCCAAGTCTGAAAGTATCTGTGCACCTCACTTGCCTAGGATGACTCTAGTGTTACAGGTCTTCCCTTGCCTGCACAGGGAACAAATCCTTCCCAAAATTCTGGCTTGCCAAGATGTTGCTCCCCTCCTTGTAAGGTTGGGTTGGAAGCCATGCTAGCATATTACTATGCATCCACCTGCACCCTTATGTATGTGGTCCCCAAGGCTTCCTCCATCAGCCTCCACATCTCTTCCCTGAAGAAACAATTGGATTTTAGATGAGGTCATATCTCAGAAACACTGTAGAGAAAGACTCAGAAGGTCTTAGTGATTTGCTGAAGAGGGAGAAGGAAAAGAAGACCTCTTTGAGGTAGCCAGCTTCCAAGATGGCCTCCAATAACCCTGCCTCTTGGTATTTGTACCCTTGTGGAGTCTCCTCGCACACTGTACTAGGGTTGGTCAGTGTGACCAGTAGGATATGGCGGAAGTAATGGCATGTCACTTCTGAGATTAGACTATTTAAAATCTGTGGTTTTCACCTCAGAAGTCCTCTTCCCTCTTTCTCTCCCATCATTTGCTCTAGGGAAACCCAGCTGCCCTGTCATGAAGACACTCAGGCAGCCTAGGGAGGGGCCCACGTGGTAAGGAATGGAGATTTCTGACCAACAGTCAGTGAGGAACTAAGGCCTTCAACCACCATGTGATGATGGAAGAAGTTTTCCAGCTCTAGTCAAGACTTGAGATGCCCATAGCCCCAGCCACTGCTTGACAGAAACCTCGTGAGACATCCTGAGCCAGGATGGCCCATTGAAGCTGCTCCAGGATTCTTGACCCTCAGAAACTGTGTAAATGTTTATTCTTTTAAGCTGCTAAATTTGGGGATAATTTGTTATGCAGCCAGATAACTAACACAGAATTTTCTGAGGTTTCTGGCTCAAGTAACAAAGATGGATGGTAAAGCTATTAAACAAGAAAGGAAGCTCAGGAAGGGACAGGGAGATAGGAAGAGGGTACCCATGTGTTTCATTTGTTCATAAAGGGCTTTACACAGCATACAGCAGAGGACACTTTTATGGACACAGAGATTGTGTTTTCCTAATCCCAAACAGTGTAGTGTCCAACAATGGGACCAAAGTCTGCAATCAGACCTGCCTCAGAAAATTTGGGAATAATGATTTTATGAGTTGTAAGTATTGATATTGCAGGCAGATTTGAGTCGGAGAGGAAACCCTTCCATTGACTGGATTAAAAATCAGCATGTTGGCTGGGCTCAGTGGCTCACACCTGCAATCCTAGCACTCTGGGAGGCCGAGGCAAGTGGATCGTTTGAGCTCAGGAGTTCAAGACCAGCCTGAGCAAGAGTGAGAGCCCGTCTCTACCAAAAATAGAAAAAATTAGCCGGGCATAGTGGTGCATGCCTGTAGTCCCAGCTACTCGGGAGGCTGAGAAAGAAGGATGGCTTGAGCCCAGGAGTTTGAGGTTGCTGTGAGCTAGGCTGATGCCACGGCACTCTAGCCGGGGCAACAGAGTAAAACTCTGTCTCAAAAAGAAATCAGCATGTTGTCTCCAACCTTCCCTCCCCAATTCAGTATTATGTCCTCTCTATCTAGCTCTAGACATTTTGTTCTAGAGGTTTGTTCTGATTCTTCCTATAATCCTCTTGAAGGCTCTTTCTGCCATTTGGCATCTGGGCACCTGAACTCTCCCGTTGAGGGGGTTTAGTTATCTAGCCAGGCCCCTAAGAAGCTCTCACCGCCAACCACCCCCCAATGTCCTCATATTCTCCGTTCCTACCCTCCTCTTAACATGGCCAGAGTATCTTTTCTGCTAAAGTCTGAATGGTATTTTCTTCCTAGCTTCCTTGTCTTCTGGCTTCCTGTTAGGATTGGCCAATGGGGGGCACTGGTGGAAAATTTGAAAGCAGGATTTGGCAAGAAACAAGGTATTACTTCTCTCCCTGCTTCCTTTGGTAGCTTCAGTGCGCCTGAGTCTCCTCTGTGGTCCCATCTCCCACCGGACAGTCCCTGCTGTGACTCTGGCTTCTGCCAGCTGACTCCTGCCACTGTAACCCGGTAACACCACTTGGTATCCAAGGCTATAACTCTGAACATGCAGATCAAGTCATTAATCTAAAAGATACACCCATAAATATACCCATGTCTGATAGGAGACTCAATCACTTTCTTATTGGAATATTTCATAAATAGGAAAACAATCACATAAAAGGGAGGTCCCAGGTAGGACAAACTTCTTGAAAATGTAAATTCTCTTTGTGCTCCCAGCCTAATCCTTTCTTGGCCATTTGTTCTTTCTCAGCTGCAGGCTTACTCCTCCCTTCTCAACATGCCAAAAACAAGTGTCCGTGACTTAGAGTCTTTATAACCAAAGGCCTTTTGATCTTTTACAACCTGATAACCTATGTATGTCTCATGTAACAGTGCAAATACCCCCAAACAATTTATAGTTAGGTAACTATATTTTAACAGAGTGAAAGCTTTATCCTGTGGATAAAGC